GCTAACGTAGTCTCCTTTATCTTGGAGGGTAAGTGTTTTTCGATTTTTTTGTTTCTTTAGTACGTTGCAATAAAACGAGGCATGCACTGTTAGATGATCACTCAAGCCGCGCAAAAGGGTGATAGGCGTGAAGTTATCAGGATGCGTTGTTAACACAAGGTCCAAAACGTTGGACGAGTGATCGGTGATGCGCGTGGGATCAGTGACGAGCTGCGTTAAGCCGAAAGTTATGCATGTGTTTAAGAAATCGCTTGCCAAGCTGTTGTTAGATAGTGAACAAGCGGGATCAGACCAGTCAATGGAGGGAAAATTAAAATCGCCGAACAAAAGGACAGGGCTATTAGGGTACTTGTTTAATAATATGTTCAGACCTTCATGAAATAAAGGCGTGAATGAACTGTCGGAATTAGGGGGCCGATAGCAGACACCAATGAGGATGTGCGGGTGTGTGGCTGTGCATCGAAGCCAAACCATTTCCAATGGTGAAGGAAGGTTTACAAGTGAACAAAGCAGATTCCGCTTAGTGGCGATTAATACACCGCCACCGCGCGAGTAATCGGCTCTATCTTTCCGGAATATGTCAAAGTGTGAAAGGAAGGGGAGAATCTCGGAATTATCGACGGATGTGTTAAGCCACGTTTCTGTTAATAGTAAGACATCGCATGAAGATGAGCCTATTAAGCTGCACAGTGCATCGCGTTTGGGGATTACACTACGAGTGTTAGCCAGTAAAAATGAAAGTGGCCGATTCCGTGAAGAAGGCTTATTTCGCGATCTCAATGATGGCTATTGGCGTTCTTCAACTACCCTATTAGTAATGTGGTCGTAATAGTAGGTTTTATCATTCGTGATAAGCTTTTCATGACGTAACCTGTATCGCATGTTCTGGGCCCTTCCAAACTCGGAGAGGCGTTTATGGGCAAGGCGCGTGCTGGGGGAGAAGTCTTGCGCGACGGCATAGCCTGTATCTTTGAATTTGCGCCCCGAAGACAAAATGCGCTCTTTATAATTAAAGTGAGCGAATTTCACGATTATAGGCCTGCGTTTCCCAGTTTTGTAAGACCCGATGCGGTGTGCACGCTCGATATCGCGCGGTTCTACCTGTATGTCTAGGATTTGTTTACAATGCTCGATGACAATTTTTTCGGAATCGAGCCATGTTTCCCTAGGTTTATCTTCTATGCCATAAAAAAACAAGGTTATTTCTTCTAGATCTATTTTCAGCCTCATTCATCCGGGTAGACAGTGCATTTATCTGTGCCGTATTTTCGGTACATGTCTCATTCACTTTAACTAATTCAGCCTGCATGTCGTCGATACTAGCACAAGAAGTCTCGATTTTGTCGAGCCGTGCTTTAATTTCACTGAAAGTTTTATCATGATCAGCCAATTTCTTTTCGATCGACTTTAGCTGCGCCAGTATCACCGTCTGCCCGGATGGCAGTTCATTCAAAACTTTCAGAATTTCTTTGTCGGGGCCGGGATTAGATTCAACATCACCAGCTAGCAAGACAAGGCTTAGTAACATATGAGAACAATCACTCACAATGGAACAAAAACGCCGTGGGCCCGGCAGCACCAAGAGTGCTCGGTGACTAGTTCGTTTTGCGTAAAGGCAATAAGAGTTCATTACCTGCACCAGGAAGAAGCGAGGAACGTTAGCACGGGCCATCGTTAGCATGCTGCCAGACCCACTGAAAGGAGTGTTGCTCTGAGCTTGCTTTTTAACCAAATCCCACGCATGCGTGGAATGTGCAGGGGAGGTTCCGGTGTTCAAGTGGCCGACTGAAAGCCACGATGCTTGTTGATACGGTCGACGGCTGGGCACGAAGTGCGCAGACCAGGATGCTCCGAAGAAAGGTTGATTTGAGGACCAGAACAGTCCCACCGCATTATCCTCGGGCATCAGAGGCGTCGCGTCCGGCCATGGCCTGACAACAGATGGTGGGAACGGAATACAGGGGCCGGAAGGCTCCAGTAGCTGCAAACTCCAGAGTCCGAGAAACCGCACCAGGAAGAAGCGAGGAACGTTAGCACGGGCCATCGTTAGCATGCTGCCGGACCCACTCAACATCTGCTATTGACCCGAGAGTTTCCATAAAATTGTTTGCATACGACTGTCTTATTTTCAAGGAAATCACGGGCACCGATGACCAAGTCTTGTTAAACAGCAGTTTGACGGGAAATGGTCAGTGGTGCACTACCTGTGGTAAGAGCTTGAACGCTGACAAAACAGTTCTACTTCGTGTAACAAAGAAAAAAGAACCCTTTCAGTTTTTTTATTCATTAAATGGTCCACCAGTGATAGAAAAAAGCCAGTAAAATACCTCGGGATAACGTTCACGAATACTCTGTCGTGGTCAAAGCACATAGATAACATCTGCACATCTGCCACACGCAAGTTAGGCCTTTTAAGGCATAAACTCAAAGCGTCACCAACTCATCTCAAATTAATGGCCTTGAAGATGATAATACTTCCTAAACTGCAATACGCTTCGGTCGTATGGGACCCCTTCCTTAAAAAAGATAAGTACCGGCTTGAAATGGTGCAAAGACGCGCTATACGCTTCATTTTCAACAAATATAGGACCACCGACTCGCCAACTTCTCTAATGCTGGCGAATAGCATTTCAACCTGGAAGATAGACGAAAAATCGATGGGCTGAAACTGCTGTTTGCTCTTTATACTGGTTCCACAAAGGTGAATGCATCGGTATACATTCAGCCATTTCAATCGCGCCCCACGAGACATCGGCACACGCACAATTTGCTTCCGTATCGAGCCCACACGAATATGTTCAAGAATTCGTTTTTCCCACGTACAGTATCGAAATGGAATTTGCTGCCTGAAGTGGTTTTCACATCTCAGTCTATTTGCCATTTTGAGCGTGCCATATTGTCTGTACTGTAGTCTGTACTCGTCTTGCTTCACTGTTTATCGCAATTGTGAATGTATAATAGTGAGATAGACCCATCACCGTTGTTCTGAAGGTCGTATTAACCAGTGTTTAAACTCATCTATATATCTCTGTATAATGTACTTATCTTCTGTATTTTGTGCACATCATTCATATATCTCGCTTACGTGTGTTTTCCACTTAATTTTTGTGCCTCTCCTGCTTGGTCTTTTTCAAGACCGCAGTATGTTGTAAATAAAATAAATTACTAAAATGAATAACTGCTATTGTAAGTGTTTCGCTGTTGTGCGTATTCTCCCTCAAAACATTGTATTTCCTCAACTTTGTATCTAATTGGTTACCTGTGATGATGTATGCCCGCTTCCTGTATGGGACTTCAGAAGACCTACAGTATCGTTAAATAAATAAATAAAGATAATTTGAATGTTGATCTGCCCAGCTGGCGACTTCAAGAGATTTGTAAAACGGAGCAGTAGGGGTGGCGAAAAAAAACTAAAACATTTTTTTTATGGGAGCAGAATAGTCATTTGCTGGTCCAAATTATTGCTATACTCGGGGACAACTTTCTGTAACAATGAAGGGAAAGCTACGTAGGCGGAGCTACTGCTGCTCTCCGCGAAGTAGTCTGGTTCAGCTCGCATTCCAAATGACAGCCATGTTTAAGTAATCCCACTCATTCCAATCTACACTGGCCAAAATGGAAAGTCTATAAGATGTACACATCAAGAATAGCTCCCTGGAATATATCTGCAAATACTACATCAATGAATACCCCTCCGCAAACACAGTGGGCTCAGCTATATTTGTTAGAACCAATACTTGCTAAAAGTGATGTTATTGGCATAAATCCACAAAATCTAGGATAAAAGAAGTTTTAAATATGTATACGCTACAGTGTTTTATGAAATTACAGAGAAACATAAAGAAACTTTAATAATGTATAGATGAATAAAAAGACAATTTTATAGATTCAAATAACATTAGTTGTGCATTTAAGAACTTGCAAAACTGTTATTTTGTTTTATTGTGAGTTTTGTTGTGAGTTTAAGAATACAAGCTTTTAAAAAATATAGTGCAAATATTGTGGTTGTAAACCATTAGATGTTACGCACCGTAGCTAGGATCTACCTTTATTGAGGAGACTGTGGCTTCTCTATTCTCTGCCTTGGTATGCTTTACCCGCCACCGGAGCTCCCCACTCCGCATAGATGCTTGAAGATTGTCGGCATTCTCTTTATAGTGAAGTACAGAAATCGCACACCTGCAGTCCAAGATTTTTTAAGAGCAATGTAATTACTTAATGCAATATGTTTACAAAGGAAACAGTCATTCGAATGAATCTATACACAGATATTAATTTACGAGCTTACAGTTTCAGTTACTCTAGTATCATGGTGTCTAAGTGCAACGACTTGTTCAATGTAATAGCTAGTTGTGTACAGTATGGTTTCTCACTTAGTTGTAATATCTGGCAAATTGCTAATATATTTTAACGGTTCATTTCATCCGTTTTGGCTATCAGCATGGGCATGAGCATGAAGAGCACCCCCCAGTCCTATAAAAAAGGGGGGGGGGGTGGCAATGCCAGCTTCATACAATGTCATACAAAGGAGAGGGGGAGCCCTGCGCCGAACCTTGAGCCCCACAAAAGGGGAAGTCTGGGCACCTTCATGACTATCAGAATTTTGGAATTACAAAAAGGGTGTAGCAGCTCGTTTTGAACTATCTCCGCCGCTAACTCGCAGTGTTAGTTTTTCGACGGTGCGTGTCTCGTACTTTATACACTCCTGGCTATTAAGTCGTTATAAGTATAAAAAACTAAAAGTATTGAAATAAAGGCCACACTCTGCGGCTGAGTGAAACAATAAAACCACCTTGCGTCGCTAGTGTTCTTCGAAGAGCATTATGGCTGCGCTGTTTACTTGTTTGAAACGCAAATGTGATTTGTTTTTATAGTGCCGGCCCCAACACCTTCTTTCCGTAATGTCATCTTAAACGAGTGCCATTTTATAGCGTTGCACCTGTCATGGTGCTTGTGGTCAAGTAATACGGCGTGAAGGCAACGTTAATGCGGTCGGTTTCATGGCGTCCTTCGAGGAAGATGTCTGCTTCTGGGAGTCTGTGGATGTCGAAAGTGACTTCCAAGCCGACACAACCCTCTTCAGAGATGCCAACTGCGATGACTTGCTTGAATTCAATGAAACTTTCAAGCCTCTGTGGCAAACTGATGCCCGAATCGCCGCAACCATTGATGGAACAGTTGAGATTAAGACTGGGTGCATAGAAGAGGCAAACATTGTTGAAATAAAAACTGAAAAGCAGTCACCAGCTGCTCCCACTGGAACTGGTGGCGGATCGACGCCAAGGCAGAAATTGAAAGCCGAAGAAGAAGCCCTTTTGTTGAAATGCAAGAAAGACGGGAATAAACGGAGCAAGATTTCTGCCCTGATCGAGACCAAGAGCACCATCCAAGTCAAGACGCACGCTCACTACCTGCTAAGAAAGAGTGCTCACCAAGGAAGAACCTCTGGTCAAGCCATCGACAACAATGTGCTTGTTGCCACATCGAAAGGACCAGTGTCCAGACCACCGAAGAAGCAGATGAAGACGAAACCGCAGGCGACCTCGCGCAACGAGAATGTCATCGTACTGAAAGAGGCTGAAGCCATTGAGACCTTGAAGAACAAGTTTCTGGAGAGTGAAATTGTCAGCATCGACAAGTCTGCCGACGAGGAAGACGACATAGACATCGACTGCGACGGCACCGACGACGTCGTCTTCTCCCCGCCCAGCTCCCCGATCCGCAAGAGTGACGCGTTAGTCAGAGTAGCTACCCCTAAGCTGGCGACCGATTCATCTGCAGAAGACACTGAGAACGAAATAAGTTCAGACAGGCCAGGGGGTCTGGAGAAAAGCGCGTCCGGTGCCGTTACATTCGAGCCTCCTGTTGCAGAAGTCGTGCTGGAGAAGTCAGAGATCAGCAAAGATGAGAAGATAATTCATTCGGAGTTCTTTTCTGGAAGCTCTTCTAAAACACCGGAAAGATACCTTAGGATCAGGAACTTCATAATTGTACAAAGATTCACACAACGTAAAATTGATAAAATAAAAAAAAGTTGAAACGAGTCTTGGAAACCAATCTGCGTTCTGAGTTTGACGC